GAGCGCTATCTCCGAGCTATCTTTGAAGGACGCCACAGTCGGCGCCTTCGCTGTAGCCTTTGCGGCCGCTGCGGCCGCCCCCCACGCCAGGCGTGCCTCGGGCGCTCCTGAGCGCTATCTCCGAGCTATCTTTGAAGGACGCCACAGTCGGCGCCTTCGCTGTAGCCTTTGCGCCCGCTGCGGCCGCAAACCCTCGCCAGGCGTGCCTCGGGCGCTCCTGAGCGCTATCTCCGAGCTATCTTTGAAGGACGCCACAGTCGGCGCCTTCGCTGTCGCCTTTGCGGCCGCTGCGGCCGCAACCCACGCCAGGCGTGCCTCGGGCGCTCCTCAGCGCTATCTCCGAGCTATCTTTGAAGGACGCCACAGTCGGCGCCTTCGCTGTCGCCTTTGCGGCCGCTGCGGCCGCAAACCCTCGCCAGGCGTGCCTCGGGCGCTCCTGAGCGCTATCTCCGAGCTATCTTTGAAGGGCGCCACAGTCGGCGCCTTCGCTGTCGCCTTTGCGGCCGCTGCGGCCGCAACCCACGCCACGCGTGCCTCGGGCGCTCCTGAGCGCTATCTCCGAGCTATCTTTGAAGGACGCCACAGTCGGCGCCTTTGCTGTAGTCGGTGCGGCTGCTGCGGCCGTAACCCACGCCAGGCGTGCCTCGGGCGCTCCTCAGCGCTATCTCCGAGCTATCTTTGAAGGACGCCACAGTCGGCGCCTTCGCTGTCCTCTTTGCGGCCGCAGCAAGCACGCCGCCGCATTCATTTCTATGTGCATGCAGTGCATGTTTTACACACATCATATGTGATATACAATTGTGTTACACCTCTGGTTCCTGTCTCTTTACTTGGATCTGCGCCTCTCATTGTTAATATTTACTTCATTCTCTACGCTGCCAGGTGCCAATGAATTACAAGGCTGCTTTCTGTATTTGTGTATGCTTCTTTTGCACCGCATGCTCGCAGGACCCCGTGGTTTACGTGTGTAACTCATTGTTGTGATCTCTCATTCGATTTGCTTCGATCTACATAGGTGTTCTATCCCCTGCTTAATGTGCTTTGCTTTGCCCCAGGCCAAACCAAATTGCCGAAGCAATGTTCTGTTTTCATTCACCTGTCTCCTGTGCTGTTGCTCTTCAGTGTGGTGCTTTTCGCAATGGCAGGAATGAGACTTGAGTTGTTTCGATGGAATCTACCAGCGCACAGCCATTCCAATCATGTGATTGCTCCTTGTTGCTGGGGCCTTTGCTACCCATTTCAGTTTCGTTTTCTGTTGTCGTTCCTTGCAGTGTGCTTCGCATGCCATGGCGTTTTATTGCTACCACAGTGCCGTGCCCAGGTTTTGGCATCGACTACAACAAGTTCGTCGGAGCTTCCTTCTGCACACGTGTCCAGTGTCTGATGTTGAATAATGTTTATTCTGAGTGTCGTTCATTGCGCCCATCAGATTGCGCCAATCCAGCTCGCATGCGCTCATGGCCTCATGTCAGTCGTGAGCCAGTCGTGCCAACTTTCCTCTGCAGGTATTCGTCTTGAGTGAAACGAGTGGGTCGTACGTGTTCTCTGTTTCTTTCTCTCTATGCTAGCTTCTTGTGCTATCACAGTGCACCACAAGTAGCTCGTACACATATGCAAACATCTGTTTGAGAGACCCACGCGTGACGCCTTGTTGCGATGTGACAGCACTGCAAGAGTATGTCATGACTTGGTACGCAGCAACTGACAGCATGGACACACAGCCGAACGAATCTCAACAGGGAAGAAGCTTTTGTGTGTGTGGCAGTGTCGTCGAGGCTCAAGCTTTCAGCGATCACACAGTGGTGGTTCCAGAACGGTTTCTGGCCATGGCTTCCGCTGGCCTGCTCTCGCGTTCTTCGCCCAAGGGCAAGGGCAAGGGCAAGAACAAAGGCAGCCAGCAGGATATCCGGAAACAGAATGTACTTGTGTGCTGTGGGGTTGCCGGGATTGGCGCGAAGAGAATCGAAGCGCGCATCGAGCAACAGGGGCGCGAAGTAGCGACAACCATATGCGTACGATCGTGAGAATTAGCACGCAGGGACTCCATGAGCGCAGCGTGCGACAGAACCACGAAGTATGCACGCAGACTGAACTGGCCCGTGCCTTTCTTCTTGTAAGGATCCGTCCAAGCTGTACTCGGTGACTTCTTCGGAGTATGCTCTGCACCGCTTCGTGGCCATGTATCCGAACGTGGAGTCGGGCAAGCTGACACGAGCACTCTACGAGGGGGGCCCGCTGCTGGAGGACGCTTCGGGTGCTGATCTCCTCCAGGCTCATCAAATTGCCTTCAGCAATGGCGGCAAGCTCTTGGAGGAAACCCACAAGGCTGCATGTCTTTCTTGCCCTCTCATTCTCAGACCCTGCTGCTCCCTGCTCTTATTATTATATGCCGCGACAGGTTGCCGTCGGCGTCTCGGAGAGCGCCGCAACGCTCCTGGCGCTTCTCCGTGTCCTTCGTGAAGAAGAACAGGCTCCGATTTCTGTGTTGAATCTTTCTCTGGTGGCGCGTTTGCGCGCCACCCTGGAGCAGTTCGAGGCAGGCCTTCGCGTTCTGGACTTCAGTTGGGCTCTTGGGTGTGCTCGGCATTCGTATCATATCTATCTGAGTCAGACGGTCTCTGATACACGCTCGATCGATCAGGCTCTTTGTCGAGAGGCTTCGTGGGTCTTCGCTGCGTTCGGGGTTGATCGGATGATTCACAAGGAAGCAGGTCGTGTCCTCGGATCGACTCTCTGTCTACTCAGGCCTTGATCTTCCTCGCGGCGAGAGCGATCTTGCAGATGCGGTGGATCAGTGGCTCTCTCTCGGCGAAGCGCTGGCCCAGCCTCACTACCAACACCTTCTCCAATCACTGGCGAAAGTTGCTGTGTATCTTGCGGCGGGGAGCTACCGCGGCATGATCGCCGCGGCGTTCGGCGTTGATCCGCGCGTCACGCACGCCTGCGCTGTGCTCAGTGTCATGCCATCCTGATCGAGATCTGCACGTAGTCTTTCACGATCGGTCGATCGGTTCGGCCGAGGGTACAGATCATCGGAATGATCGAATCATCTCGTCGCCACGGCTGGAAAATCAAAGCTCGCTTGAGCGGCAGCTTCTGATAGAAAACATGTCCAACACGATCGGCGTGCCGAGTTCTCGTCGCTCTTGCTGGGCGCTGCTCGATACATGCAGCGTTGGGGAGCCAGCTAGGAATCTGTGTGATCGGCAACTAAGGCATCACGCCGCATCCCTCGCGCGAGACGCCCGAGTACACCGCCTGGAGCACGAACCAGGCCGATCCAAACCTGCTCCAGGCATGGCTCACCAGCGTGGTGCAGGCACGCTTTCGGGAGCTCCGTGGAGATACCAGCGTGCCCGCGCCGGCGCCGCCGACGGACAGGACCGCCGCGTTTGCCGCCTGGGCGGCGAGCGGCGCGGCGCCTGCAGTAGCTCCCTCGCCGCGGCGCCGCGTGTCTGCCGCAGGCATGAGCCCGGCGACGGCGGCGCCGAGTGCTGCCGCTCAGAGCCAGTCTCCTTTCCCGGCACCGCTCGCAGAGGCAGTGCCTAGCTTAGGCCAGGCGGCGGCCCCGCCCAGCGCTGAGCCTGACAATGAGCTGCCGGCGCCAGCGTCGTCAGCAGCAGCAGCTGCTGACGAGCCTGACCCTGCTTCCTGCCAGCGGCGGCAGCGCCGGCTGGGCAAACTCGTTGCTGCCGCTGCTGCGCTTCTCGAACTGCAGCTTCCGCGAGGGCGGAAGCGCAAAGCGGAGTTGGCGACAAGCCTGGCTGCAGATTGGGAGAAATTCCAAAAGAAAGTTCATAGTTTCAACCAGCCAGGGGCTTACACGCCCTACACTGTGCCGCGTGAAGTACGCGAGCACGTGGCCACTTTGCAAGCAGCGCTGCGTGGCTGAGGTGTCAGTGCTGCTGCTCTGCAGATCTCTCTCCGCAGGCTCCATCAGTTGTCTCTCTTCTCCTCTTCGGCCACTCCTCGCTGGCAGTGCACTGTCGCCGAGGCTTCTGTGAGCCTGCAAATGTGATCCCAGCATTGTGACTGGATGAGCCGCTGGCCAGCGCGGCGCAGCTTTCACCGACATCTATGAACACGCATTCTTTGTCTCGAAATGGTTCGCGTCTTTGTTTTTCTGTTATTATGAGATGGCGGCGGCAACCGACAGCGAAGGCAGCAGCATCACGAAAGCATATAGCGGCGGCAACCAGCATTGACGTTGCTCTTGCTTTTCCTTGCGCTTTCCCGCACCGCACCGCCAGGACACCAGACGGTCGACACCAAGGCAAGCTTGGCTCTCCTGTCGGGTTGTGTTCGTCGTCACATGTTGTCGCAGTAGCGCTGTTCTTTCATCTTGTCGTTCTTTCGTTTTCTTTTGACCCTGTGTCTCCACACCCATCCCGACCCATGTCCCGAGATACATGGTCCAGCGCCCAATGCCCCCGTAGCAAACTCTGGGAAGCTCTTCCAAACAAGTGTTACTAGTTGGTGTGGTCTCATGAGGTTGCATGAACTCTTCCCGCACACACTGCAAAGACAACTCACAGGGGACAACTTGGTGACACATGTGTTTCCGCTTGTTGACAACATGTTCGGCATCTCTGTGTGTGGCACACTAGCACGCCAACAAAAGTAGATGTGGCAAGCTGCAAATCTCTTGGCCATCTGTCCGACGAGGGTGGCTTGCATGCGCTGCGCGATGCCCTCTTTGGTTGACACCAAACAAGTGTCGATGCTTGTTGCACTTCCCACCTCAAGGTTCGATTGCTTTGTAGCTCATGGTTCCGCACACACTTTTTGTTTCGGGAATTAAGTTTGAAGGACAGTTGCCGTCTGGCGTTGTGCGCTGCGTCTTCTTGGATATGCTATGCTAATAATGTTCTGGCCTCTGGAGGCTACCCACACACCTGGAAGTGTTGTTGCGGCATATGCGAGTAACACTCTCTCACGAGCTCGTCCGTAGGGTTTTGGCTCGAACTGGTCCAGCACCATAGCTTTCAGTCGTGCCAGCCATGCCTTCGCGACGCCGCCTCGTGGGCTACGCGGGCAGCGACGCCACATCTGGTTCAGACACTCTGGAGTGTTTTCCAGTCTGCGGTGGCGACAATTCGTGTCGCAATCTGGGATGGTGGGTGAAGCACAGAGCCACGGACGAGTGTCCTGGGTGCGGGTCTCTTCGCAGTAACAAGCTGCAGAAGGCAGACCTCAATCGACAGCAGGTCAACACAGCTTCCACTTGTGCAGCCTGCACGCAGAGTCGGTACGTCGTGCCGCAGGCGAGCGCCATCCCGCTTGCACTGCAGGGGCTCCCGTCGGAGGTGATTTTTGCTCTGCGTCCCTGTGTCTTGCACCAAGGCGACGTGCACTGGTCGTCTGCTCAGGGCTATCGCTACACCACTGAAATATCTGGCATATCCTGGGCCGCCACGTCGGTGGAATCGAGAGTGCGAGACGTCAGTGAGGAATACAGAGACATGGCAGCGAGGGCATTGACATTTTTGGAGAACTCTTCCGATCGGACCGTCTGGAGAAAACTGCGAGCAGAGCACCAGGGTTGGCTGAAGCGCAAGGATGGCAAGCGCACATGGGGCTGGAGTGCGCTATTCCGTCCAGCTCTTGAATGCTGCCTCTGGCCGCACCTGTACCCCGATTCCTGGGCCGATTGCCCCGCGGAACAGGCTGCGGACGATGAAGCTCCAGAGGATGATGAGGACGAACACGGTCGCAGCAAGTGGTCGTCCAAGCGCTCCTTCGCTGTCAAAGCGCTGGGGCCAGTGCTCGACTACGCTGCGGACCTGAGCTTGGCCACGTTCGTGTACGACCGGTGGTTCCTGCGCACCTTCACTGGAGCTGGAAGCGCCACTGGTCTCACGTTGCACCGTGCGCTCGCGGGGAAGTGCCTGGGCAACGCCTGGCTGGCACGCCTCCGATCTGCCATGTGCGACCTCCACCGTCAGTATGGCCACGCTGATTACTTCTGTACTCTGGCGCCGTACGAGGTGGTGACGCCATTGTCGGAGGCGGTGCTGGCCAGCTTGGCTTCTTCGGGGCGGCACCCCCGCACGCTGTGCGCCGTGGCGCTGCAACACATTCTGCATGCCGCCGTGGAGCTGGTGCAGCGGTACTGGCTGGGGCACGACGCGCATCACTGGCCCACCCATGTCTTTGGCAACAAGTTCCAGACGAAGGACAAGAATGTTGTCGCGTGGGCCATGCGCCAGGAGCTGCAGACGGGAGCCCGCTGCGCGCAGCAGGCCGCTCGCGTAGAGCGGCCCGAGCGCGCGCAGAGCTACCATGGCCGCCAGGGCGTTCACTGGCACCTGGTGATCTGGGTGCAAAGCCGTGCGGCCACGTGCTTCTCCAATTACGTTCGTGCTGACCTTGGCGGTTGTCCTCGCGTGCAAGCAATTGCCAGACGAGTGCAGAGCAGCAACTATCCGTTGTACTCCGTGCCTCGGGACTTGCCACCGTGCGTGGTGCGTGGGCCTCCCCATGCACCTGCTGCAGTTGCTACGCTGTTTCGATATCCACAGGAGGCGGTGCAGAGAGGGACGCGGGCAGCTGAACAACGCCTGCTGTGCGCATTTCCTGCGCACCAGGATGTTCAGGAAGTGCGGAGCCCGACGGACGTGGCGGCATACATGACAAAGATGGCTTCTTATGTGACCAAGGCCGCCTACGCACACGGAGATGTTTTATTGCGCAGAGATGACAAGTATTTACACCAGGCCCGTGTGTATCTCAAACACGCCCGTCCTGCCGAATCGCTGCTTTGGGCCACGTTGCTGGGGCATCGCGGGAAGCTTCTCAGCCATGACGTCAAAGCCATCGACCCGCCCACGTTCGCTTCTGCTGGAGACCACGCTGTCTTTCAGAAGTTTCTGGGGAGCCCTTACAGAGATACCTATCCAACTTTCATTGGCTGGCTTCGGCGGGTGCGCCATACCTTGCCAGAGCCCAGGCCCTATGTCGCCAACACGAAGATCGCGGTGGCCATGAACTTCTGCAGCCTCTGGCGTGGCCCTGACTTCTGGCAACAGTGGCTCTTGTCTTTCACTTCTGGCTTCGCCACTGTGCATGACTTGTGGCATGCCAGGTATCGTGCTCTGCCGACTCATCTCCGGCATTTTGCATATTGCCTGCATTATCATGCCGATGTCTGGGACACCTCTGCAGGCGCACGCCGTGAACTGGAGACACTCGGATACTCGGGATCGCAGCTCCGCAACGCTGAGTTACACATCGACACGCTTCGAGAAGGTGTTGCGGCCTGGTTGAAGAACGGCTGGACGCAAGCGGCCGCGGCAGAGCAACAGCCCGTGCACGTGATGGCCCAGCTCACTCTGAACCAGGGGCAGCAAGAGATTGTCAACAGGGTTTCGGTGCAGTTTGTTGTGAGAGCCTCTGAAGAAGAGGATCTCGCTTGCAGGCGAGCTGTCTGCGCGAGGGGCCCCGCTGGCACGGGGAAGACGGCAGCACTGCACAGAGTCATCTGTGAGAGCCTCGGGCGCCAAGAAAGAGTAGCAATTGCGAGCTTCACTGCTTTCGTCGCTGATAGCTTTCGGAGGCAGTTCCCTGGAGCCACGTGCGACACGCTGCATGGACTGCTGAACGTGGGCCCTGTCGCGCACAGCCCTATGGAGATGGGAGTGGGCCTTCTCTCGTACGATCTTATCGTTGTCGACGAGGTATGCATGCTTCCGCGCTGGCTCTTTGATGCTCTCTTCTCTGCGTGGAATGCTATCGACAGATTGCCTGTGCTCCTGGTCGCTGGAGATGATGGCCAACTGGCGCCCTTTACCGACAGTGGCGGTACTTCGGCTGGCAACGAGAACTCTCCGCACTGGCGCCTGGTCGACACGGTGACACTCACCGAACCCATGCGTGCAAATTCCACTCTCTGGCCTGTCTTGGTGCACTTGCGTTGCGTCTGGCCTCTGGGACACGACTTCCTCAAGAAGTTGCTTCACGGACGCGTCTGGCACAGAGGGCCCCTGACGGCACAGTGCATGAGAGACCTCTTTCAGGCCAACCCTACCACGGTCCTGGTGTGCATCGGGCGGAAACAGGCTACCAAGCTGAATGCCTTGTGCCAGAGCGCGCTGCTTCCGTCGCACGAGATCCTCAAGACAGTCCTGATTGAGGAAGGTGAGACTCCGCAGGCCGTGCCTCTTCAGAACGGCTTGCCTGTCAGGCTCACTAGAAATGTGCAGAAGCGCCGCGGCCTCATCAATGGAACTGCAGCAACGGTGCGCGGCGTCAGTGATCGCACGGTTCTCTTGCAGGTCGGCGAGAGTGTCGAGCACGTTCGGCTCTACGTGGAGAAGGGCCGCCGCTTCTTTCCCATTGCCCGAGCTTTCGCAGACACGTTGGCGAAACGTCAAGGCAGCACCCTGCCTCACATTACCATTTCGCCTGATGTAGACTACGTGCCTGCCGCTGCCTATGTATGCATTAGCCGAGTGAGAGACATTGATGATTTCCTCTTTCTCGTCCGGCCGCGGCTTGAATTCTTCCTGCCAGCCGCATCGTGCCAATAAGCCTGCTGCCAATGTCGCACGACGGCGTGCGCTGCATCCTCAAATGATAAAAAACGTGAGCGGATGTGACCATCCAGGTTCCTGGCGAACCCGCCATAGGCTCGGCGCCTGGAATGGGTGAAGCATCGCTGTCATCATTACTTCTCTGTAACACTTCGCCCTGAAGTATCAGTGGTCTGCTCGTCTCTTCCCGCGCGTCTATCTCTCGATACCTCCTTGCATGCTCCACCCGTTCCGCGCTTTCCAACTCGCGGGATGTTAACGACTGGTGGAACTTGGCCCGAACATCTCGGTTTGCCGCCGGGTGCCCGCTTGGAGGACAACGCAAGGTAGGATTTTCAACCCGGCAAAAATGCAACGATCATCGACTCACCTCGCCGCACTCAGTACGACTCAGGCGCTCCATGCCTCACGTTGGGGTTTGGAACGCGACTCTGCGCGCTTTTTTTTCCTCCTTCATCATTCTCTTAGTAACATCAGGCTTGCTACAAGGTCTCTCGTACATCCTTCGAGGGTCCTTTGGGCCTTGTGTTCTAGAGATCCTTTCATACGATCTCTGGAGCTCTGGCAGAGCCTTTGGCTTTGAAGTTGTCAGCTACGCCTTCGTTTTCATTGGGACTACAAAGAGCTCCTTGAGGCTTTCCTGGGTCCTGCGAGACTCTCTTCCAGGGGTTCGGGTTTTTTGGTTCGCGACACCGCTCGCGAACCACCACAGCGCAGAATATTAGACAAGGCGGCTCAGCCCCACCGCCTTGTCGGCAAAGTATTAGCCGTGACCAGTAGACACGAACCCCCTGAGATTTCAGGCCGGAGACTTGGGTTTCCTTGCTGCTGAATGTCTACCCCAGTGTTCTCCCAACGCCCGAGCCAACGACCTTCCATCCCAGGGTCTATTCATAACTAACACCCACGGCATGGAAACCGAGATACTAAATGTAACTAGAAAACTAAAGAAACAAGGAACTACAGTGCAAGCTAGAGTGGCTCCTCGAGGAAGAGTACGCCTATGATTCTGCATCGCATCCATGCGGCTGGTCTCCTTGGAGCGCTCTGGGATTATACTCTTCATCGACATCTCAGGCCGACCCTTCCTCGGATCCACGTGATGGTTGGTGCGACACCATCCGAATTAAGATTCGTGAAACCAAAAGACGGAATGGAATCGTGTCGTATCTCTCACGGATAGCGTCTATTATCTTCCAGTGTCTGAAACGAATTAACAGCACTTGCCCTCATGGCATTGAGCATGGAAGCCAGTTCCTCTGCTCCGAGGAAAGCAACAGGAGACAACAGTCGAGAAACCACGTTTTCACCATCGGTCCAAACTCGTGCCCTGACCTCTCCTGGGACACCACGCATTGAATTTCAATGCTCTGGCCAGCCGTGGCGACAAGGAATCCTCACGAGAGCCAACACACGAAGCAATTTCGACGCTCTGGCCTGCCGTTGCGACGAGGACATCTCCCGATAGCCCAACTTCCCCAACTCTTGTCTCACTCCGCTCCCCTCTGGTATTCGGTTCCGGACTTCCAATCAAAACGGCTGAGCTTCTGTGCCAGAAAGCCCGCCAGCTCCTGAAGCGGGGACGTCTCACAGGCTCGCTCCCAGGATTTGACACAACGCTCAGGACAGGACACCACGAGGGCACCCATCGCTGCGGCTGCGCGCCTCCCGAGAACAAGGCCTGGAGGAACCCACACACGGCCAAGAGGGAAAGCCATCTGCTCTGCCGACAGCACTGTCTGCAGATTAGATGCTGTACAAGACACCAGCCTTCTGCTGTTAACACAGAAGTCAGACACCATCTGTTCCTTATAGACAGAACTCAGCTTGATATCACCCAGCGATACTCCAGCATCTTTACTGAGATCACCGAGAACTGCCAGCGCCGAAGCATGTTCCACCTTTTTCGGGCAGTTCATGACTTCATGCGCGAGGTCGGAAAGTGCAAGCGAAGCGTTCAGAGTCTCTTGTTGACCAGCCTCAGTTGCGGCACTCGGAAATTCCACCTCGTGACGACTGGCGTCCGCCACCGAGGCCGTCTTCCCTCGCACCTCCCTGGTATCAGCTAGCGTAGCCAACTTACGAAACGATTGAACTCGCTCCCAGCCATCTTTGCCCAGAAGATGGATAGCAGGAGGGGCTGCGAGTATCACTCCGCTCTGTTCCTTGCGTGCAAGAAACACTGCCTTTTCTCTTTCGACGGCGAGCTCTGTGAATTGCATCAGTTCGATCAACTTTGGACTGAACATCAGCTGAGTCTTATCACCATCGAGGTCCCCACCGGCCATAGCGCTGTTGACTGCACCTTTTGATGAATACACTAAGGCATTATCCACGACGACTTTCATCGCGTTTGGGATGCGGACAGCCTTGTGCAGTTCAAGGTCCCAGGGCAAGTGGGTCGGGCAACGCCACAGAACCACAGGACCAGTGTAGACGGCCTGCGCCCTTATCACAAGGCATTCACCCTGCTCAAGAACGCCCTCCACGTCACTCAGCGCCATGAACGAACCGCCAGGTCCAGGCATGGACAGCCGGCCGGTTTTACGCACTTTCTTGGTGAGCATACTCCACCGGCAGTTCGCTAACCGCAATGCTCGGCGAGTACCCTTCTTGATGGCGTGGGGATGCTCCTCCACAACCTTATAATCAAGCTCCCCAAGAGAAGTCTCGGTGGTCCCTGCGTCCTTATCAAATGTGAATCGGATTTGAGAGGCAGGCACTCGGCGAGATGAATTCCATTCCAACACACTAGCTCCGACCTTAGGGGGTGCCTTTTCGCGCCGCTGCCCACGACACTTCAGCTTGTGCTTCACCACGCCCCCCACGGTACACTCCGGAGATGCACGCTCGATGCCGTAGGCGGAATACACATTGCTCTTACGAGTGTGTGCAACCGCTTCCGACACCAGAGCGTCGAGCAACTCCAGACCCTTCCTGCGATCCGTCGGAGACGACAGACACGCGATCCGAGTCCGAAGCACTCCAGCCAAATTAGGCTCTAAGACAGGGTGCCTTACGACACCCGTCGTATCGTTAACAATGTCTAAACCATAGGCAAGGTCGGTGGTTATTCCTTCCGCCCGCGCTTTGACACACGAGCTTCCGAAACGCACCGTATTCTCCTTCAGGGCTGGATCCACACGAATCGTGCCCTTGCACAAAACGGTTTCTCCAAGCCCGTCCGGATCATCCGACCTGCAAAAGAAGATGCCCCGGAACTGTACAGCGTACGTCAACACATGGTCAGGACGACCAAGCTCCGCATCGGTTGAAATGGGTCCACCGCAGGTGCTTCCGAGCCTGTTAACCAGGTCCCTCATGAAAGTCAAGCTGCACCTTGCCTGACCGTCATTCGGGTCCACACCCACAGCGTTCAAACGGTCAAGTTCCGTGTCCCACCAGGCATCCACTCCCGAAACACCTAGCGGACAGAAACATTTGGAAGGAGTCAATAGCAGCTGAATGCGAGAGAGCATGATGTTGGCCGTCATGCGTTCTCCCTTTACAGACTTTGCTGTAGCCAACCAACGGATCGAAGGCGACTGCGCTGGGTTTTTGGTACAGTAGTAAGCCAGACCATTCTCCTTAACGGTCAACAAGTATAGGACTTTTGGTATCCCGGATGGAGCGTTCTGCGATACGTATTTGAGAAGCACAAGTGGCTTGTACTTCTTCTGCCCGAACTTCGCCGTAAAAAGCCTGCCCAACTCCCTCTCGGCCCGAGAGTTATAATGAGCGGACACCACACCTTCGGCTGGCTCCAAGCGTACGGGCTTGACAACGACGGCTCGGAGTGTAGGCTTGTCGTGCAGGTGGGAGCCCGACATCGCCCCTAGCTTCCGTTTTCCATTGAGCCGCGAAGTCACGTTTGCACTCGGTGCGCGACCGGACCAGCCGGACCAGGCCACCACCGGACTCGCATCCAATCCTCCAAGGACCTTGCCCACTGTAACCTCCAACTCCAACCGTCCTTCCTTCTCAGCACGCTGGTCGTTGCATCCGTCCTGGTCTTCACAGATTATGCTGTTGCCAGCGTCGGCAGGAAGCGCGTCAGGGTCCCCCATTCCTGAAAGGTCAAGGCTTCCCGTCGGCAAATCCAAGCCTTCATCTGTATACACGTAACACAAGGCACGTGCGAAGACCGCTGCTTGCTCATCAAACGATGAGAGTTTGAACTCCACAACCGCCTTCATCATTGACACCCCCGACTTGGAGAAAGCCTTCGCACGCACCGAGTCATCTTTAAGCAGCGCGCTCACTTTGCTTGGCCCCATGCGCTCGAGCAGGTCCAGCATCTTGTTCTTCTTCTGCTGGACCGCGCCCTCCCCGAGGTTCTTGACCACCGCCTCCTTCGCAGCGGCGAGCAGGGCAGCCACGAACTCCGCGTTGTAGCGCACGCTGGAAGCCATTGCTGCACCTTCCTCGGGCACGGGTTTTTCGAGCGCAGGGGCGTTGCTTGATGAGCCGAGTTGCTTTGAACCAGAATGGTTACGGAATGCAAATCTGGAGGCTCGTAGAGCCGACATCGAAGGATCAAAAAGCAACGTCGCTATGGACGCTTGGCTGCCACAAGCCGGGAATCCCATATGGGTATTTTATGGGGTGGGCTGGTGGGTTCTCTGGTGACGCGCCCACAGCGCGGCACTCCTTAGCATGACGTGCGTGCTAAGGAGTGCCGCGCTGTGGGCGCGTCACCAGAGAACCCACCAGCCCACCCCATAAAATACCCATATGGGATTCCCGGCTTGTGGCAGCCAAGCGTCCATAGCGACGTTGCTTTTTGATCCTTCGATGTCGGCTCTACGAGCCTCCAGATTTGCATTCCGTAACCATTCTGGTTCAAAGCAACTCGGCTCATCAAGCAACGCCCCTGCGCTCGAAAAACCCGTACCCGAGGAAGGTGCAGCAATGGCTTCCAGCGTGCGCTACAACGCGGAGTTCGTGGCTGCCCTGCTCGCCGCTGCGAAGGAGGCGGTGGTCAAGAACCTCGGGGA